ATATTTCTGATATCATGCTTTGCTGGCAAGTGCTGGGAGTATGACAGCTGGATCTCACAGCTGACTTCTGCTCTGCTGGCTGGAAATGCCACAGCCAGAAGAATAGAAGAAGAAGAAACTCTTCTTCTGTCAAGGAAGAAGCCTTCAACAAAAGAGAGCAGCTTGGTTTTACCTACTGCCTTGTTGCCAAGTTAACCTGTCAGTAGCAGTTGGAGCCAAAATGGATCCAGTTATTTTGCTACAATCTTCTCAAAAGTCTTCTTGAAAGCTGAAAATTTCCAAGGTGGCCAGGAAAGGTGGTTGAATGGAAAGACTTCAGCAGCTGCTTCCTTGAAGGAAATCAGTGGCAAGCAGAAGGTCTGCAAGACGCCTGCATGGGGCTCAGGCTGAGGTAGAGTTTTGGTGTCCCAGGTATTGCCTGACCAACAACAGAACATATGGACTGCAGTCATGGTAGGGACAGCATTCAACCCTCAAGAATTTACTCCACCTCCAGAAAGTACAAATTGTTGTGGATCTGAATGATCATATCAGGACAGTAATTATATATAATCAGGACAGTAAAAAAACTCACAGTGAGAGACACTCAGCTGTCATGGTGTGAGGAGCTGTGATTTGCCAGGTTGTTTACAGCGCACAGCACTCAGCTGCACACAGCTCTGCTGACACCATGGTGAAGGGCATGGCAGCCATGCTTGGCCTTGTTCCTAAGGGCCTCACATTGTTCTCAGAGCCCTTTGTGTGACCATCACTCCAATTTATGGAGTCAGGTTACCTCTACAAATGCTCTGTTCTCCCACTTTGTCAGGGAGAGATGACTGAATGCCACAGAAACCTCTGAGAAGGAGAAAATCACAGAAGAGGACATTTAGGGATCATAATGGCAATGAGTGGCAAGAGATGATTACAGAACTTATCAAAATATCCAAAGAGTTCACTGTCAGTGCAAAGATATCCTTCTTCTAATGGGAGGACAAGCTGAAGCAGTAGCTCCATAACATCCTTTGATGCCCTAGGATAGCAGGACCCCCAGAGCTGGCTGTTGCATCCTGCAGTAGTTCATTAGTATTGAGATCTTCAATTCCCTTTACTGGATCTGAATTTGGGCTTCTAAGATCTGACCCCTGAAGAACCAGAACTTTCAGAGTGCTTTTTGCTGCACACTTCTTCACTTCAGGCATTTTTCTCCACACATTTACAATCAACACATGGCTTTGCCATGTTACTGGCATCAGTCAGGTGAAGAGCTCTGCTTCGAAATCATCTTTCATGTTGCTTTTCTCTTGAAACTTTGGGGAATGCCTATATTAGGAGTAAAAATTAAAGGCAGGAGGATGGAGGCTAGGACTTTGTTCTGGCCATGTATTTTGTTCAAACAGGAATTCTGACTCATCCTCTTGTAACTGAAACTTGAAGAAATAGGCATTTCCCACAAGTGGATTTGAATGAAAAATCCACTAAGTTAGAAAAGGTGCATAGCTCCATTCCCTTATGTGGTAGATTAAAAATAAAAATAAAAATAAAATATAAATATAAATATAAATATAAATATAAATATAAATATAAATA